TTTGTCATTGCTATAATGATTGCCTCATATAACAAGAAGTGAGTACTGGTGGTTAATAGTTTAGCCACAATAACAAGTATGGTCATTGCTACAATGATTGCCTCATTTAACAAGAATTGATTACTGGTGGTTAATAGTTTAGCCACAATAACAAGTATTGTCATTGCTACAACTTTTGCCTCATATACACGCAACAAGAAGTTGTAAGCACTAGTGGTCAATACTTTAGCCACAGTAACAAATATTGTCATTGGTACAACTATTGCCTCATACAATGGAATTACTAGTGTGTGCCTGAGATGTTCACCTTTCTGTACTGCAGATTTGAAGTTAGGCTTTAACGTCTTGACCTTGTTTATTGGAAAACATGGATGAAAACAACATCTGTATGCACTTCTGTGTGTTAATCCCACGCTTACTTTTCCTTCATGTTTTTCCTTTTTAACTTTTTGTGAAAGTGCGTATTTTTTGTTCAGTGGTTTTTTGGTCTGAATTTAGTACGACTGAACTTTAGAATATTCAGTTCAATATTCCAATATATTATTTGACTTGACTCAGCCTCAGGCGCTGTGTTGAGGATAATTAGCCTGTTTTTGTATATTTTGATAGCCCCTGCTCAATGCCGAAGCCTCATCAGCTGGCCAGAAGTCCACCTGGGCCGATGCATGGACCAAGACCAAGATGGTCTTCCCCTACGTCTGGCCCAAGGGCCATTACCTACTGCAGCTGCGCATCATCGTTTGTATCCTCATTCTCGTGGCAGCGCGCATCGTGAATGTGTATGTGCCAGTGTTGAATGGAGAAATCGGTGAGTGGGATCTTGTGCGTGACGGTCTGCAGTTTTGCCGACTCTGATTGGTGCCTTGGATCCAACACTGACTTAAATTGAGATTTGTCTGTAAATTTTGCCAGGCCTGAGTGAAAAGGAGGCACCTGAATGCCAATGTTTCTCTGTGACTTACAGTGGATGTTGCAAAACTTGGTGAGAAAGCTGCATCAAGTGTGAGCCTTGTGCCACAAATTTCTGCAAAGTACTTATAGTGAATTGAACAAAAAAAGTTGCTAAGTTGCAAAATATTTTAATCATTCTAAACATCTTGGACAAAGAAGATCACAGAATTTACAATGGCTGTTCCATTGCAACATGATCAGTAAACTGGCAAGCGAATCTCAAAGTCCGTTTACTGCCAAACAAGTTTTTCATTACCATCCAAAACCAAAGTTGTGCATATCTTGTGTGAACCTTGATACAGTAAGTTTAAAAAAAAAGCAAGAAAGTTACATGTACATGTACAATACAAACAAAACGACAAACTAGTGGTTGATGAGAGGCCTTAACCCTAACCCTCCTCAATCCTCTTGGTCAGTCATGCATAAATTCAGCCTGATTTTTTTTTTTAATCAACCGCACTACTCAAGAATGCCGTTTGCACTGCCTCAACATAATGACAGGAATTGCCAGAGGATTTTGAAGGATTGAAGCAGTAGGCACACCTCCAAGTAACATTTTCAAGAAATTTTGGAGGATTTAGGAGGATTGAGGAAGAATCCAATTTTTTTTAACCCCAAATTGGAGGATTGTGGAGGATTGAAGAAGGTCCCTAGCAAAAAGGACCTAGGGGGGGTTAGGGTTTTAAAAATGTTTTATTTACAATCTGTGACACACAGGCCTCGATCTCCCATGTCACTGGCACACGACATAGTTAAAAATAAACTTCTGTTGTGACTAAAAATCAGTGAAACTGATCATTGCAGATGACATTACATTGATTACATCTACTCGTGTAATGTGTTGAGCAGTGATGAACACAATTAGACTGTAACAGCATCTCATTTCCAATCTGTATAGTGCAATTTCTACTTGTCTTGCGATGCCTAACTGATTGCGTAAGCTATGCCACATTGTGTGGCTCAGTGTTCACAGTAAAGTGTGGCACAGATGAAGTTAGGCTATTGCATGATGTTTTGTGAAATTGGCTGCAGTGCCCATGGGAAGAACCTACACCTATGTGGGCTTTTCACTGAAATGAAAAGTACCAGTAATCCAGCATGCTGTGTATCAAACATGTGTAAATCGGTGAACACATGGTGTGGAAGTTCCATAGGACTTCGTTGGTAGATGACCAAGCCCCCTTCTCCTTTTCAGGAACAAAGTCAATAATACAAACACGTATGTACATCTACACATGGTGTGATCCTATGATGATGAACAAGTAGAGTGGTGTCAAACAAAAAACCTGGATGGCACCATCTGGATCATTCAACACTTTGTAAACTGAATTTACTATTTTTCATTTCCTCCACAGTGAATGCCTTGACGCCTCAAAATAAGGGCGGTAAAGTGCAGTTCCCATGGCAACTGATTTCCATTTATGTCTCCTTGAAGTTTCTACAGGGGAGTGGTTCAGGTCTGTGAAACAGTCAACCTTTGTGTTGTGGTCATAAGTTACATTGCCAAGTGGACTTACGCTCAAAGCTCGGCTCTGGCTCTGACTTCTTTGTCACTTACCCACCGAACCTTTGCATGCTTTCAGTGTTTGAAACGGATAAAGAAAGACTTCCATGGAACTTGATTGTAATTTCCATAGATAGAGTAGAAATTGTAGGAAGACATTGTCAGTGTGAACCTTGAGTCAGTCACCCCCAAGTGAGGCAAAGCCAAAAACAGAGACAGAGCCAGCGTTCACTTTTGTCATTACTTGCCCAGTTATTTTGATCTTCTGTCCATGAAGAAAGCACAAGTGATAACTCTGTGCTATTGAATTACATGTAGACCGGTACAGGGTGCCCTATAGAATAAGGCCCTGTTGAAATACATGTAAGTTATCTGCAGCTGGGTGTAGCATGTGTGCATTGGTTTCTATGAGTGATTGTATATGTAGCTGGGAATACCTTGTGCCTGTGGGAAGTTTATGGCCACTACGGGTGGGAATTTATGTTTAATTTGAAAAAATGTATTGAAAATTTTTCCATACCATTTAACATATAAATGTCCCACCCTCACCACAGTGTCATTGAAAACTTTACACACAACGAATTGTATACAATGTAAATAGTTGACACAAAGTTCCGTTGATGAATTCATGGTAGTCCTTTGATATGAATGAGCAGTGAAGTGTTCTGAAAATCAGATTACATTTTACGGGCATCACATACAATAAAAATGAATGCCAGATTGCATCAATCAAAAGGTCAAACCTCTAAAAGGGGCAGTTCCATTTAACGTTTGGGAAAATCTTTAAATGGATCGAAACTATTTTATGGCCATGCCACCTCATGGAGTAAACATAGTTGAAGTTACAGCAAAGGATGAAATCTCATTCCCACAAATCCCACAAGTTCATGGGAACCCCGAGCACCATAGTTTCCATCTGGTCTTCTGATCGTTCTCTGATCTTTTTTTGCTCGCAGCTGGTATTGGTCTCTTAAGCAACGCTCGCACCTTCATTTGGATCAAGGTATCCCAGTACACCACTAAGAGCATCATGGTTCGCCTCTTTGGGCATCTGCACAGGTATGCGAGGGTCGGTAGGCCCAGATTATTTTGTGGGAGGCTTTACTGATGACTCTGTATACAAAAAAATTTTGCCTTGTGGCAGTTATGCCATCAACCTCTTTTCCACTAAAGTAGAATTAGGTGTCATAGAAATTAAGCCTGGAGTCTACCCCCTGAGTCCGGTTGTAAATAATGTGTATGTGTATATGCACAAATGTGTGACATGTCGTTGCCTGACACTTTTCGGCAAATCTTGAAATGTGATAAATATGTCCTGCTCTGTTGCAATGCGGGCGACTTACTGTACCGTGTGCCACCAAGAAGTCATGACGAGGCCATTTTCCAAGTTTATGGTTGGCAAAAGTGTGGCATTTATCTACAGATTAGTTTCTTTTTTTGAGTTTTCAAATTATAGAAGCAATAGTCTGCAGCTTCATGAACGCCCTCCCTTCAAAAAAATCTTAATAAGCTATTTTAGAGTTAAATTTGAATAAAATCTGGTTTACCGAGTTGTCTGGTTGCATAAAAACATAACAATTTGAATTCCTTTTTTCAAGATGTATTTTTGCGTTGGGGAGATGTTAATTGTACATAATGGGTTTGCCCTTACCCAACGTA